TTTACTGATGCACGTTCTACTAATTAACCCATAGCTGGGGTGAGAAGAGATATATTCATATCTTTCCCAAGATATTTGCACGTAAGTTTAAAAAAACGAACCCGACTGGAATTGGAACTCAGCTCTCCGATTTCCAATTCCGAGCCGTTATCCATTGCAGCACTCACGCATACAAGTTTATAGCACCTTGTATTCCCAAGCGGTCAACCATCTAGTTACTTACCAAACTCGACGTTGCTTAACTTCTTTGATCTTACGAGAACCAGTTTTTTTACGTCATATGATCGTAAGACTATGTGTGGCGTGTCTGTGTGTGTGTGAGAAAAAAAGAGAGAGAGTATATTGATGTACCGTTAAACAAACCAGTCAGTATTAAGGTGTAAAACTGACTGTTACCATACAATGTTAATTCACATGTACAGGGTACATAAGGTATTTGAGGACATATGATTGATTGCTTGCAGTTATTGATAAATCATTAATGTGATTTTATCTTTTCAGAGCATCAGTAGCGAAGTATGAAACTTGCAAAGCAATGTGGAGATTGCACGTGTTTGGTACATCACCAGCTTATTTTTGCACCAAGTTCGAAAGGATTTGTAAGCCACCAGCGGGGATGTGTCGCATGCAGCAAAGCGCAAAAAGTATTCAAAGCGTTCGGATAGTATAAGGACACCACAATTTGTACAGCGGGATGCCGATGCAAAAGCTCTTGCTATGAAGGCGTTGGGACCTTGAAAGTCGTCTTGTCCCTCTCGCTCTCACTTTCTTGGCAGAGCGTCAGAACATGCTGGAGGTCTTGGCAGACGAGATCTTTCCTGCGGCGGCATGGTCTGCTGAGAGGTCGTCGCCAGTTTGCAGATTGCGGGTCGAACTGTTAGATGACTCTGGTAGGGTGATTATCAGGTCGTCACAGGTCGTGACCGAGTCAACAAATACGGCGCTTAGCGAAGGTGCACAGGATGCTCGATTGGACTGTCCTCCGGCTGAGCTTCTTGTTGGACACAATATCGGATCAGTGCACGCCACGATGGTTCTGAGGGCATCGGACTTTATCGATGCAAATTTCTGAACATCCATGAGATCCATTACCTTGTGCCCGAGGGCTCAATTCTTAATGGGGACATTCTTTCGTGTTGAGGAAAGGGCAGTTCATGCCTAAACACACACACAAGAACAATGGTTGCTCTGAGCAAATCGATTACTGAACAAATCGAAACATCCAGATGTACCTGAAATGCTGTTTTCAGATGAAAGAAATTCAACCTTGATAAAAAAAAAGTAAAGCTGTGAAATGCCAGGTGAAATGACAGTGAAATAACACGGGACATATCACAAGGATCCGCACATAACTATGTGTGGAACCTTGTGATTTCTTCCATATTTTGTGATAGTTATAGAGGAGGTGATTAGTGAAGGACACATCATACCACCCACGTCTTTCAACGCGGTATTCGGTTGAACACTTTACCTATCCTGCGCATCGTATGTGACGCACACGTGTGATTCCCACGTCAGTGCATCATATATTGTGCACACGGACGCTTAAGAAAAGTGTCTACTATTGAGCAAGACGTCTGAGGCAGGCCTAAACTAATATTTTGTGCGTCATATATGAGCACAGGACTGTTGACTGATAATGTCTCATAATGTTGCCGACTCTGAAGTTTGAACACAGATCACCAGTAAGCAAATACAGGTGTTTCCATTTTGAATAAGTAGATCACGTGATGACAAAGGAAAAGTATATATGGGAATTAGCGTGGCGTCTAATTGATCATTCTTCTTTACTATCCTCTATCCCTATACGGATCACTCTTTCTACTCTATCCTCTATACTATCCACTATACTATTTCTCTATTCGGATCACTATTCGGTGGTAACTATTCGAGCGAGTATTATCGAGCAAGTACTATTAGTGCGAGTGTTATTTGAAGGCGTCTGACACCAGTATTGTTCAACGGCGTTACTATAGTTGTATCGGCGATTACAAAGTCTCTACATTACGTAAGTGACAACGATTGTTAGTTGACATCATAAAATAATGTAATATCTCAAATGAAAGACATCTGTTTTTCCACTTTATTGAAATGATTATAGCCTTTCGCTTGGATAAGAAAAGTTTTAATAAATGTTGTCTTTTTGTTATCTTTTCTTTTTTTTTCTTTTTTTTTTTTAAGCATTATGCCCCAAGCAAGGCGTGAAGCCACTAGGATGCATGGGGTTGCGGAAGATTTGGAGCGAGAGCAGATAGAAGTGATAGAAGAAAGGATGAGGAGAAGGATAGTGGGTAGATCAAGGTAACTGGAGATGTCGATTGACATTACATTTGAATAGTTGGAGATTATAGCCTTCAGGGAAGCAGTAAGTGGGGAGGGTGTTCCACTGGCGAGAGGTGCGAGGTATGAAGCTATTGGAGTAGAAGAGACGGCTACATTTGAGAGTTTCTACGGTGTAAGGGTGGGAGCGGGATGCCAGCCTCGTAGGGCGCTTGAATTCATGGAGTCTGGGAACCAGTGAAAGCAGCTCGTCAGAGCAGTTACCATGGAAGTATTTGTAGAAAAGACAGAGAGAGGCGACGGCGCGTCTGTGAGAGAGTGACTGCAGACGAGACGCCAGATCAGGGCCAATTAGATTACATATCCGTCTCTGGATCTTGTTAAGAACTCCGAGGTAAGCAGAAGGTGCCCCAGCCTATATATGGCAGCAATACTCCATGCAAGGGCGAATGGTTGTTTTGTATATTTGAAGTATAGATTCAGGGGAGAAAAATTTCCTGGCGCGGCACAGAGAGCCAACTTTCCTCGCGGTGGAAGAAGCAATTGACTCAATGTATTTGTTCCATCTCAGGTCAGCAGTCAGCGTGAGACCGAGCAGACGCAGGGAATTGCTCTCAGGAAGTTGACTATCAGACATTATAATGGGGGTCAGGGAAGGATCTCTATGGTGGTTAATGGAGAGTAATTTAGTCTTGGTGGCGTTAAAGTTGACCAGCCAATTCTTGTCCCAGTTAACAACCGATTGGAGGTCCATTTCGAGACGCACGGCCAGATTAGTTTTGTCGCCGATACTAGATTTGTTTTGGAGGCAGGAGTAAATTGTGGTGTCGTCAGCATAGATGCCAACTTGGGAATCTATAGCGTCGGGAAGGTCATTGATGAAAATAAGGAAAAGAGTGGGGCCAAGGATGGAGCCTTGGGGAACACCTGCGTTCGTGGGATAGGAACTGGGGGAAAATCCGTTGAGAACGACCTTCAATTCACGGTTTGACAGAAATGATTGTATCAAATCAAACAGTTGACCAGTAACACCATACTCCTGGAGCTTACGAAGAAGGCCGGCGTGCCAAACCCTATCGAATGCTTTGGAGATGTCAAGGGCCACGGCACGAGCCTCTCCGTTATTTTGAAGGGCTTGGTAGACGGTTTCAATGACGGTCGTAAGCACATCAGCTGTGGATCGGGCGTAGCGGAAACCATATTGCTTGTCTGAGAGCAGATTATGAGATGTAAGGTGATTGATTACTTCGGCATCTCTCCTAAAATTTGCCTCGACTTCAATCCCGTGAGGTATACCTTGTTTTTCTCTGTCGCTTTTGCCTTCAAACTGTCCCGTGAGTATCAAAATTACTCTTTTCTCATGATGTGACCTAAAAATTTCAACTATGCCTTCTTGATGTTAAGTATAAGTGTCCTTTTTGTTTTCATTTTCTCTAAGACTTCATCGTTGTTCACATGTTCGGTCTACAGTATCCTCAGCAACATTCTGTTCTAGTTCCACATGCCAGGCCTATCCCGGATGTATCAGTTAACTCAACCTTTAACTCAACATTTTTTTATTCACCTCAGCTGTAGCCAGGTACTGAACTCATAAGTCAAGTCACTGGATTCAACCACAAAGCCTTTTTTCTTTTAGCCATGCGTCCTTGAGGACACCAGTGGATGAATTGGGGGGGGGGGATTATATACCTAATGTCTCAGTAACCGTTTTTTTTACCAGAGCTCATATTACAATTTTGTTGTGATTAGTGTTTTTCTTTAGCACTCCGTATATGCTTCAATTTTTTTCTACATCTGTGAGATTTTCCAGCATACACTGCCATACACTGATGGACTGATATGACGTAACAGTTCAGTACTCTTTTCTTTATTTCTAACGTAATTTTCCTGTTTCTTAATACTTTGCTTAGCTTTTAGAAGGCTTCTTTCGTTATCCCAATGCTCATTCGGATTTCAATGTCGCACTTTCTGTCCTCTGTTAAAACACTTCCCAGATATTTAAATTGTTTGATCTTAGTATCTCCAATTTCTAATTTACATGTTTGTTATGGTCCGGTTCCTTGTACGACGGTGATAGTCCAAGGTAGAACCAATAAAGAAGAACTCGAATACGGATATGGAATAACACAGATATATTACAAACAGAAATATATACAGAGAAGTAGAACAAAAGTAATAGTCTGAATGCGACTCTGTTTCGGACTGCCTCTGACTCGACTGACTGACTCGCTCGCTCTGACTGACTTCCGGACTTCTGACGGACCTCACCCCAGACTTCAGACTGAACTCCCTGCTTCCTCTTGAGGCGCAGTATTTATTACGTATGGAATAGTCCATTATGCTATTATGGGTAAGGTCCCATAACAATGTTGGACTGTTCCTTTTGCTGACAACCATTCATTCCATCTTCTTACAATTGAGGTTTCGTCCTTTCTTCTCGCTTTCTCTCACTTCCGGACTTGATATTTGTTTATTAAGTATCAGATTCCGTTATGGTTCATACTAATATATAGAAAAGTCAATTCCTGTTTCTTTCCCGCCTTGTGAAAGACACCGTCTGCTGGACAAGACAGACAATGTAATATATCATTTGCTACTACAAAATAAAAATATATTTAGTGCTATATGACCCACAGAAATTTCAGTTTGCCAGAAAATTGTATTTATAATCCACCGATAGAAATTTTCCTTTCGCTACAATTAGGATGATAGGGGTAGGGATGTGCTCTGTCGAGTGCCTTCGACTCCACCCAGGACTCCCCATCCTTTTCTTTTTTACCGGATTTGACGTGTTGTTTACTTCGGCTTTTCTCTGTCAAAAGAACAATCCGACAGATATCAAAGATGACGTTTTGTTCAAGGAACAAGAAAAACGCGATCAACGCCATTTTGGTTGCTTCTGTCTTTCTTTACGGGAAGAGTATGAGTCAGAGAAAGAAGATAAAGACACGGGGAAAAGATGTAAAAGCGCGCGGATACATACGTATTCAGACAGGTACACTCGCCAGTCTCCACACACACACACACGCACACGCGGGGTCACACATGCATATACAAAGTACAACGCTAAGGTGTGTGAGAACACGACGCACGCATTCGTGCGCTCAGACAATGCCCAAAAGGAACGAAACACCATTTTGAATATCTTCACACACACACACACAAACAAACACACACACACATACACACGTGTATGACTGTGTGCGTCTGTGTGTGTGCATGCGTGCGTGAATGCGGTTTCTTTTCATCTAAGCAAAAGTAGTTATCGATATATCGAAAAATCTATCTATCTACTAGCAAGTTTACCAAAGACTACTCAGATTAAAGATTAAGATGAAACTATAAAACAACGTATACCAATCTCGTTTATGGTGGTTTTACTTGCCGCATGACCGGGGTTAATTCTGTTCTTTGTTGTCCTTGTTAGAGCCAACTTAACAATCCAGCTGGTTTCTTAGTCAAAATGATTTAGTGGTGATAATAATAACGAAATAGTAGGTTGCATCAAAAGAATTTTCGTTTTTTAACTTCCCGAATGTTACTTAAAATAAAAAAATCCTATCTAATACTCCACATATCTTTTGATGATCCTTACTCGCCTCAAAGATTTCGAGTTCTTCTGCATAATTTCTCTTCATCCACTTATCTTAATTTCAAAGGTTGAGACACCAATCTTAAAATGCTTAAACCAGTTTTGAGCAATACACACTGTTTTGAAGAGTTCTTCCCTAGATATTTTATCAGTCCAGCGGCAGTCGTTTATCTCGTATGCCGAGAGCTGGTCTAACCTTGCTGCTTGGGCATTTATATAGTCTATGCCTTAGCTATGCTAATTAGGAAACCATTTAGAGGGTTAAGTCAAAAATTATCCATACATTTGCCATATCATTAGACAAGAGTGCAGATAATTTTTGACTTTCCCTTTGTACATATCACTACATCGAGTTATGGTGGGGAATATAGAAAGTAAAATGTTTGAAGTTTTTAAACCACGTTTTCTGAGGACCTGATTACTTACTAATATTTCTAAGAAATATTTCTATAAAAACGCATATTTCATGTTAGCACAATCGACTTCCAATTAATTTCCATTATCATGCAAAATAATTCAATGAATGAAAAGAAGATCAAGAAAGAATCCATACAATTCTGTTTTTATGCTTAATTTTCAACTTAAAAATCACTTTTCAACTGTGTATTCAATATTATGAAGTTTGTTTTCTTTCATACTTTATCAGTTCAGCAATAGTCGTTTATCTTGCATAACAAGACCTGGTCTTCCCTTTCTGCTTAGGCACTTATGTAGCCTAAGACTTAGCTATGCTAATTTGGCAGCCATTTAAATATCACTGCAACAGATATATATATATATACATATTATAAATTAACTGATTTAAAATATTTTTTTTCGCTTCACAGTTCTAACCCTGTTTCAAAAATGAAACAGGGTTAGAACTGTAGCGAAAAAAACATATTTTAAATCAGTTAATTTATAATATTAATGCTCTGTAAATTTACATTGAGCACTATTTTGTAAAAATAAAAATATCTATAAAAACACCGGATTATATATCTTAGTGTTCTTTCTTTTTATTTATATATACATATATGTGTGTGTGTGTGTGTGTGTGTGTGTGTGTGTGTGTGTGTGTGTGTGTGTGTGTGTGTGTGTGTGTGTGTGTATTTGGCCAGCAATCTATCTTTTATACAAGTTCCATTCAGGAGAACTGACAATGCGCTGCGATTAAGCTTTTTATTAAATTTTTCTTGTTTTTGTATAAGTAATTTCTTTTCTAAACATAAAGTGTGTAATAACTGTTAAAAATTTTCTAGATATCCGAGCGCTTTCAGCTATTCTGTTAGCCATTATCAAGCATTTTTTTATTTTATTTTTAACTGAATGTGTAGATATTTACATATGTTTCTAGAGTGATGGGAATATTCTTTTTATTTTCCAAATATTATCTGCATATTGTGGCCGTGTTCATAGTTGAAGTATTGAGTGTTGGATTTTTCTTTTTTAGTACCTTCATTATATTTAGTCTTTTTTTTTACATGTGGGTGAGGCTATTATACTTGTATTTTCTATAAGTATCTTGTGGATTGAATTTTGTATGTTTTGTGTGTTTAAATAATTCCTAATTGAGCTATGGTCAGAGAGGTTTAATGTGAGTCTTTGTGATAGGCATGTAGTGTATTCAATGTTATCAAGTTTTTTTTTCTTTCGTATTTTATCAGTCCAACGATAGTCGTTTATCTCGCATACCAAGAGCTACCCCTCTACACTTACTGTTGGAAATTTATATAGTCTAAGGCTTAGACAATTATAATTATAAGATAATTAGGCAGCCAGTTACATATCACACTCCTATCAACCAAGTTTAAAATGTCAGTCTTTTCTATTTTTGTATATCTGCTGAACTCATTTTCTAACCGTATACAGGCGGTTTATTGCCAATAAAGGTAGTGGATTATTGTAATTTCTTTCCAAAATATATCAAGGTTACTAAGCAGTTCCAACAGGTCTTTGCCTCATAATTTATCGAACGCCTTTGCATAATCTATAAAACACAGGTACACGTTCTTCTGTATTTGTATTACTCTTTCTGATATAATTCTGAGTATAAATAAGGTGTAGTCAAAACCATAGCTGGTTATATGCATATTGCAATTGAGATTCAGTATTCTTGATTTTCCTTACATAGAACAAAACATTTCTTATCAATGTCTTCCTAAAACAACTTTTTTGTTCCTCTCTTGATACTACAGTTATTTGGTATAGTAAATATGAGCTTGTGATTTTTTATTGTTCACATAAATATTTCAAATTCAAAAGCATTCCCATTTACTAATAAAGCATGTTCCAATAACTTGGACCAATTTTAGATGTGAATTAAGTTTAAACGTCTAATGATTTTTTCTTTTTTCTTTCAGATTTAACAACTTAAGACTTTGGCAATTTCAACCATGGAAAATTAACAATCAAACGTGTCAAAGTTATCAAAGCCTATTACAAAAATGGATGTTCAAACAGAATTTGAATGAGAAGTTCTCAGGTCATCATCATCTCTCAAAACAGTGAAGTCAATTGGCCACCACGATCATGTGACTTGATGCCTTTAGATTTCTTCCTTTGGGGACATCTCAAAAGTAAGCTCTATGCCAACAACAACAGCTGAAGAATGAGATAATAAGGCATATTGGTGAGATCGAGGAGCAACTATGCAGAGAAGTGATAAAAAATTTGGGCCATGGAGTGGAGGTGTGCTGCAGAAGCTTATTTAAGTCATGGTAATTATGTGTGAAAAATAATAAATAAGGTGTAGCCGAAACCATAACCAGAGTTATATGCATATTGCAACAACTTTTTTGTTCCTCTCTTGACTCTAAAGTTATTTGGTATAGTAAATATAAGCTTGTCCTTTTTTATTGTTCACATAGATATTTCAAACTCAAAAGCATTCCCATTGACTAATATTAACGTATTTCTATATCATATGCCACACATCTATAATTTGCTAAAGAATATCTACGAAAAAAGAAATTAAATTCAATGTTTCGTCCATAAATAAAGATTGTTATTCGGTGTGTTCTTCATAGTATTTTATCAGTCCAGCGGTAGTCGTTTATCCTGTATACCGAGAAAATCAAGCTATGAGATTTCCAGCCCTGGGGAACACATGCCCGAGGCTGCATCCTCTCATTGCACTAGAGAGAGGGATCGGTGCTCGCACCGAGGCCCTCGCAACTGACAGTACAACACACACACATATATATATATATATATATATATATATATATATATATATATATATGATATGATATGCATTTCAAATATAAAAGAACGAAGAGTAAAAGATTTCAGCGTTCAAAATCTTAATTTAAAACAGGGCTCAGTACAAAAGTAGAGCAATAAATTTTTATTTATTATGTACTGTTACATTAGTGTTTAGTAGTGGGTATGTAACAGTACATAATAAATAAATATATGATATATGATATATATATATATATATATATATATATACAATATATTTATAAATAGTCGTATGGATTTTAAAAGTGCACACAAACTGAATGAAGTTTTTTACTGGTACCTTTAACAACAATAACATTTGATATCACTGTAAACACGTTCAAGGAACTCATTGACAGCAAATAAAAATGGTGAAAATTATGTATTACTATAAATAATTTTAATACACCGCCCTTTTGGGCGACACCTTGTTTATATCTACCTATGGACACCTTTGTATACGAACAAATATGTGAAGCCATCAATCGCTCAATTTGCATATCTGTCTGCCTTTTTGTAAGTTTGACTCTCAGTTAACCCAAGACCAGTTTTTCACAGATACTATCTGACGAAACTCTAGTATTAAAAAAAAATCACCAGTACACTACAAATATAGTACACCCAACTGTAACTGTAGAACAAAGCAGGAATGTCCACCTAACTGTAACTGTTTCCAAAATAGTGTAATGTACGAAGCTACGGTAAGCTCCAACGGAAATCTTGAAAATATATACAGCAATAACAGAAGGTCATTCGAAACAGAGATTTTGCAGATATAATTAAAAAAACAAAATATGCAAACATTACTTTTCTATCAAAGCACATACGATAACACAAAAACACAAAATATAACATGGAGGATAAAAGAAGAACCCATTTACAGCATGAATTCAAAACTATGTAACCTTTGCCTCGAGAAGAAAATAATGATAATTACCATCAGAAAAAGATTAACTCCAAAAATATAAAAAATCATTTCGAAATGCAAATATGTAAAGAAATTCCTTCTAACCTACCTACAGATGCATAATAACCAAAAAGACTAACTTGAAATCCTCTCACCTAACAATATTCCTCACACCAAAACATAGAAAAAAAAAAGTGCACAAAAGAAAACAAAACTAAGAAGTTAACTAATTTAAATGAATAAAAATTAAAAATATAT